TCAGAGATGTTATGCCTCAGAACAATCCGACGGTGCCGACTGGGATTGAACCCAGGACTGCTGGGGTGAGAGGTAATCACGCTTACCACTACACCACCGGCACCGCTACTTTGAGCTTTATTTCATGAGCGGTGTTTTGCAAGAATAATGAAGAATTTAGACGGGTGAGTTTCTGAAGAAAATTCTTCTGCTGGCCTAAGCATTAGAATGGCAAATAGGCAGCTATAAACATAAGTTGTCCAAATTTTGATTCCACAGAAACTCCCAAAGTTTCAAAACCTTTGGTTTTAAATGAAAAAAAGGATGAGATGTTTGATACGTCTATGAACAATGAAAGCAATGTCATCACAGGCTTCATCAAGACGATCATTTCGGTAAATGAAATAATTTGCGTCACTTTTAACATAATGGTCAGGTTCAATGAACATTTCAGTTATAACGGCCAATATGCACGATATGAACTCTCTAAAGGTTAAACTCGTCTTCAATATCTTTAAGATATCGAGCATTCCAATTCAAAATATTTAATGATTTAAAATCAATTACTGACTATATTGTTCGCAAATTTTACTCCAGTTTAAACAGCTTAAATTATTAAGATATTTTTCAGCACATCAGTAATCATATTATTCAATGCTTTCTGTAAAAAATCCTCTCTAATGACAATTCAGTCGTCATTAGCGCGAGAGGAATCACTACAATTCATGCATTGAGCTGGCATGTAGCAATTTTTAGTTCCGTGACCCCATCCTTGGCACTTACGGAATCGGGTGTGGTTTGGGAAATTCCTCCTGTCTTCCTGAAGTGTTTCCACTTCTCTCGGACATGGAGCATAAAACTAGCTTTTTCTAGGGCCTAAAGGTTGTTAAGTTTCTTAAATTTGAAGTGAACTAAATAAAAACCATTGGAAATCCCGTTGCGTGAATCACCAGGACAGGATTTCGTTTTCATTTTGATAACTTGGATTGGCTGAACTCCAAGTAATTTTTTCAATTCTTCTTTGATCTGATACAGGGATTCACCACGTGAATCCAGACCTTTCATAACAACCTTGAACAGACGAAGTAATGAAATTGGGTTGTTAGCGGAATGCTTAAATAAAACAGCAAACAAGGTTATCTTCCATTTAATTCCACTTTATAAATTTTGGTATCCATGACAGATACGTATTTCAACTACAATGTGCAGTCTTCATCGGTGTCATTCCCACTAAAAAACTTATCAAAATCTAACCCCCTTAAGTACTCATCCCCTAGGCAAAAAAGTTCAGATCATAGGTAAAAAAATGAAACTACAATGTGTTGAATCGGAACCTACCTAACTAATAAAAACCAAAGATTTACGTAAACTAAAGGAGAAAAATCTATACAACTCTCTAATAAGGAAAATCCCAAAGGCTTGGTAGCCATCATAATGAAATAATGAAATTGGGTTGTTAGCGGAATGCTTAAATAAAACAGCAAAAAAAGGTTATCTTCCATTTAATTCCACTTAATAAATTTTTATATTAGATTTTGATAAGTTCTTTAGTGGGAATGACACTGATGAAGACTGCACATTGTAGTCGAAATACGTATCTGTTATGAATACCAACATTTACTAAGTGGAATTAAATGGAAGTTGACTTTTTTTCTGTTTTATTTTTACTTGAACGTCTGAGTTTTGGTGTCGTAAATAAGTAAGTAAATCAGTAAGTACTTGAAAATACGTTTGAGTCCGTCCAAGGTTTCTGCCAGTACATGGCGTTGACCAAGACGGGCAATTTGAAGTGAAAACTTAAATAAGAACGAAGTTTAAAAGTTCCTTGCGGATAGCATGGAAATTGGAAGTGGTTACAAGAATAGGGGGAACCTTTTTCTTTTTGGCTCTAAGTCGAGAATGTTTAATGGAATTTTGCCTGGATGATGCATCATTCTCATCATCCGTAAGCATATCAATTGGTTGCTCAATTGAATTTCATCAGAAGGGGGATCAAGCGATTGCCCTTTTCTTTTGCGCTTAGGTGCCATGGCGGCAGAACCAAGTTACTCCAAATCGACTTCCAAGCAGATTACTATAAGAATCAGAAAAATTGAAGAGGATTTTTTTAAATCGATGACCAAGCAAGATTACCTCGGTTAGGTTCCAAACGAGGATCGAAGAGGAATAAGAGTCAAACAAGGTAGAAATTTTGCAGGTAATATTGAGTGCTGAAAAGTGGTGTTTAAATTTGTTGTAACTTTATGATTTACGGTTTAGCGACTTGCAGTCAATTTATTTGTCGGTAAGAAAGTTTGAACATACATAGGGGTAAGCACATATCATCGGTACAAGACGTGTGTGTGTGAGAAAATTTGCGAAAAAAATCTAAGGGCACCGGTGGTCGGAGGTGAGGCCGGCAGCTCAATTGTTTCATTTCATACTGTACTGGGAATACTTCAGCATGTAAGGATGCACAACAAAAATGAGCTGTGCTTGTTCTCATCGACTGATACTGAGTGGTTGCGGTACAAGCACATATCGTCGATAATAGACGATTTTTGTGTATTAGAGAACGCTTGCGCTACAATACTAGGGTGGGAAACGGATTCGAAACTCAAATGTCATATCACAAAACTCAAATGCCGAATACATCCATAGACCATATAGCTCCACCGTTGAATAATTGGCAATGCACCAGTGTACTGAATGAGAATTGTGAGTTCGCATCCCACAGGTGCCCTTAGATTTTTTTTCGCAAATTTTCTCACACAAACACACGATGATATGCGCTTACCTCTCAGTATGTTCAAACATTCTTAAAAGTTGTAGCTTTATGTAGCAGTAACACTTCCTTCAGCAAAAAGCAAATAGATCCGCACGGCAAGAGAACACGATGCGGACTGTAAAGGATTTAAATAAACTATTAGTAATTCCATCCTCGCTCCCATTGTAAGACACTGAAAGTTTTAACGTTATCGCCCCCCATTTTATGATAAGTTTTTCACTATTGGACAGCTTAAAATTCCTAAAACCGAAATTAATACTTATGGACATTTTAACCACAAAACAGTTAAGTTTATACAGGATAGTGATAATGAGTATCTGCTTTTACCAATTGTAAATGCAAACCATACTTCGCAATTCACCTTTAATAAATCCAGCCACTTAGAACTTCATAAAATTAACCATGTTTGTAACCAGCTCAATTCCTATTTGGATTTTATGTTCACTAATTGTACATGAGATTTTTGTATTGCAGAAGCAGCAGATCCAGTATGGAAGAAGGAAAAATTTCATACGGCTATTGAAAACTACGTGATCACAGACTCGCATAGTTCACGCCCAAGCGTTGTCAGTTTTGGACAAGAAGCAAAAAGCACACAGGACGAATAAAAAGTTTTTTTTTAGAAAAAAAAAATACGTACATATTTGCAGAGCACTTGACCTATAAATATCGTCAGCATATGAGAATTCCAATTCAAGAGTAGAGAACAATATAAAATCTGATCCCAAAATGTTCTTTAACTTCAACCTTTCGGTTGATAATATCACTTTTCAAGAAATGTGTAAAACTCTTCAAAGTCTTGATTCCAGCAAAGGACCTGTTCCTGATGAAATAACTCCATTTTTATTGAAAACATTGCAACTAGTTTTGTTCAACTATTGTTTTGGCTTTATAATTAATCGCTCAAGACAGGTGATTTTGAAAAAAAAAAATATTTTTTCTAAAGCCCAGTATCACATCCAGCAGGTTCATCCAAAAATTCGGTATTTTTCAATCGTGAAATTGAACATATTTGTAGCTTTGTGACAACAAAGTTACATCATGTCAAAAATGACCATTTTGTATGAAAATCGGCATGCGCTGCTGTTATATCGAACAGCACTGTATATGCCGTTCCCTAGAAAAAGTTGGCACTTAACTCTAACTTCAACTGAAAAATAACTCCATGTCACGGTGGAAGCAAACGTTAGCTTATGTTCAATCCATGGGTGTTGCTGTGGTCAGATAAAAGAGAGAAAAAACTATGATATCTAGCGATATGCATTGATTGCTCGTGCAATGAGAAAAGTTTTTATTTTAACTTCTCCAAACGAACCCTCTAACAACCACCCAACATAAAAAGTCGGTGGCTTGTGACTATTACTGGAAAAAGGTCCGCCTCATCTGTTGTACGGGAGAGGGTGCCCAGCATCCCATAAAGCAATTATTTCCACTTGAGAACAAACGAGACAAAGCGTTTTCCCCCCATATCGTCTGAGCTGACAACAACGCAACGGGAAGAATCACGTCGCACCAGCCAGTAGGAGCAGTACCCAGAAACTGTGGAAACGTCAGCTCAAATCTTTCGCTTGAACTCCCGGATGGTTTTATGACATTGCGTAAACCAGAACCCCCTCTTGGGATATGGCGCTAGAACCTACAATGGAAGAACATTGAGGGTTAAGCCCCAGGATTTGGATAACACGATGATGCGATTACAGCAGCGCTGACGACGTCGTTGTTAATCGTTTTGTGGTCTAGCATCGTAGTGTTTAGCAGCGAAGATGATCCTGAACTTTCTTTCTTTTCATTGGAGTATCATTTTCTGATGGAAAAGTTGTAACATACAGCTTTGAATTAGTTCAAAAATCACAAATCACAAAATCAAAAATCAACATTCTCAATCTCAATATGTTAGAAAAAGCAGAACACCTATTAGAGCAACAAGATCCCAACCAGGCAACGCAAAAAGTCAAACCGGCTGGCAGATTTGCATATCTTTTGTTCCTTCCTCGTTTTGTCACCTTGACATTCATATCCACTCAGCAAGAAAGCAGTTCATCTCCGTTTGAAGCGCCATGGTCACATATTTTTTTTATGTTTTGTCTCGTTTCACTCTCGTTTGGAAATCTGTATCAATTTCAAAAGCGATCTTCGCACAAAATTTGCACCCCCTATGTGCGGCAGCAAGAATGAAGTAGATCTGATACGAGCCCGCTAGTATAAAAGCCTTTGCCGATTCAGTATCTCACCATCAGTCAGCTGTCGAACAGTGTTTAGTCGAGATCGTGCATTGCAACCAAGTCAAACCAACCGAATTCAAGATGAAATTCCTGATCGCCTTTGCCGCTGTGGTAGCCGTCGCTTTGGCCGCCCCCGCCGATGAGCGTGATGCTCAGGTCGTCCGGTACGAGAACGACCACAAGGGTATCGATGGATACAACGTGGCCTACGAGACCAGCAACGGCATCAATGGCAAGGAACAGGCTGAGCTAAGATCTTTCGGAGATGACATTTCTGCCATCGTCGTTCGGGGATCGTACTCCTACACCGGTTCCGACGGACAGGTCTACACCGTGAACTACATTGCCGACGAGAATGGATTCCAGCCCGAAGCGGCCCATATTCCACGTGCCTAAGCTGTCGGAAGTGTGAAGTTGAATGATTGATGAAGTGATAGAAAGGAAGGTGTAAATAAATTGCTCTAGTTATTTTGGAATGAGAAGTGTTTTGTTTTTGGAATTTCAGACTTATGCCGAAATTGTTTATGACTAAGTTCCAACCTGGATGAGGTATCGAAAGGGTCTGATTATTTTCTGACTAACGTCAGTTTGATCGTTTGTTTTTGTATCCTGACAAAAAGTGGGTGTGTAGTAAACATAGTGGCTAAAATTAATTTTACTCGAGATTCGTCCAATTGGATAGTTCCCTACATTATGATAACGAGCAAAAAGTTTGATCCATCCACCTGGATAATTTGTTGATTCAATAAGTGTTGCTTTGGCAGAAGTGCGTCATTTTGCCGAAGGAAATTCCACCGCCAAAAATTTCACCAAATGACGTATCAGTGCCGATCATTTCGCCAAAGATCATTTCGCCGCCATATTTTTAAAAGAAGGAAAAATATTTTAAAATTATTGAATTTGTAAAATTTAATAGATAGAAAAATTAATCTCATGAAACATTCAACTCCTGGTTTTCAAAAATGTTAACAATAATTGTAAATCTCGGCATAACAGCTATTCTGAGATTAACAATTCTTGTTATAATGTTTGAGAACCAGGATTTGAAAGCATTGACAAATTTGAACGTGTCTAAAGGACCAGGGCCTGATGGGATAGCACATGTATTCCTGAAGCATCTTTCACTCTGCCTTCTTTTAGAACGTCTGTTTAATATGTCTTTGAAAAATTCAATATTTCCTGAAATTTGGAAAGCCTCTTTTTTTGTGCCTATTTTATAATCTGGCTCAAAATCTAACATCCGAAATTACCGTGGAATTGCCATTATTTCTTGCATTAAAAAACTTTTTGAATCTATCATAAACGACAAAATTTATCCACAAGTAAAAAACCAAATAACAAGTCAACAGCATGGCTTCTTCAAGGGCCACTCCACTACTTCTAATCTTCTGGAGTTTGCTTCTTTTACCCTGAATGCCATGGATAATGGTAACCACATAGAAGCTCTTTACGCTGACTTCAGTAAAGCATTTAAAAGAATCGACACACCATTATTACTCTTCAAGCTGCAGACAGTAGGAATGGAAACCGGACTTTTGAACTTAATCTAGTCCTACTTAACAAACCGTAAGAAAATTTTACGCTTTCAAAATAATCTTTAAGAACCAATTCTAGTCACCTCTGGGGTCCCAGAGGGATTTCATTTGGGCTCACTTCTTTTTATTTTGTACGTAGAAGACATTTCCTTCATACTTAAGAACATTAAAGTACTTGTGTATGCAGACGACATAGAAATAAGAAATGCTTCCGAAGCAGAAATATCCCAGAATGAAATAAATCTATTCTACACCTGGTGTAGCAAAAGTCTACTCCAACCCAACGTAAAAAATAATGTAACGCAATAACATTAAGTAGAAAAATTGAAACACCTTGCATAAATATACATTGAGGAAACGAAATAGTAGAAGGAAAATGTTAAGGGACTTGGGCGTAATACTAGACAACATACTAACATTTGTAGCATTTGTAGAACATTATAGCACTATCATAAGCAAATCAAATAGCATACTGGGCTTCATTAAGAGGTTTTGTTGTGCCCTGAACCTTCTCACCTTCGATATGTAGTGGATAAAATTCGATCAGAGCTCCAACACTGAGAAACGCAGCGGCAGGAACGGTAGCACCATCATCCAACCAGCCTCGAATTTTATTGCCAGGGATCTTTTTGCAGCGAGTGTATCAGGAGGATATTAATCCGTTTTTGCATCACAATAAAACTCTTCGTTTGATAGAAACACTTAGTCAAAACACTACATTTATTTGCCTTATCAATTAAACTACACGATTATACAAAAAAGGAACACGAATCTTCTGCGGTTACCGCAAACGTATGACAATGACCGGTGGTCTGTCCGATGACCTGTTCGTAACTGAAACTTTCCCTTTCTATACAGAGCAGCGCAATAGATCCAGAGAAACTGATCTATTGCGAGAGAGGTGACGTCACGGATATTGCCGGTCGATGGTCTGGCAAGCCAGGTCGACACACTGATCGGACGTTATCATCCTCTCTTATACTCTCATTAGATCACTTTAGCTGCTACATATGTGGTACCTACTGACCTAAGCTACCAGAGAAGAGATGAATTTTTATATACCTAAACCTCGATTCCTTATCCCCATCATTGGATGGTATATATTGTACGGTCTAGACTGTAGACAATAGCTCAAACGTAAACAAATCCGCTCGGCGGTTGCACGGACAGGCTATCGTACTGCTCAGCTGCAATAGATGGATGCCAGGGTTGTAGTTGACAGGGGATCTGGATTCCGAACAGGTTTAGTTACAATTTTCAGGACCCATACACTATAAAGTTCCTCTACACTGCAAATGTGGGTGACTATTCCAGCTGCACGGTTAGGATAGCGGTATAAGGGGGACCCAATAGTCAAGATGATGGAAAACCATCAAAATCAGTCTAAAAACCAACCTAGTGATGAAATCGCTAAGGAGGTGACCGCGAACCCATTCGCGAAGGGTGGTCTTACGAGACCTCCCCCACCCAGTGATCCGAACAAGGACACCAAGCGGCCGAAACCTCTGCAAGACGCGGAGTTAAGCGACGGGACCGGTGGACAGCTGGAGGAGCAATCTATGGATGGACCCAGGTTAAAAAAAAAGTCATGAGTAGTCTTTGGGGCCCTCCGTAGGATGCTGTAAATCGCGGGACAGCTCGATACCATCATCGAGTTCACGAGCACGCGGAACAACATTGCGAAAGACCTCAAGCAGGCCTTGAGGCAGCTCCGTGCAACTATGAACGAGGCCCAGGACGACCAGGAGCGACTTAAGGGGAAGTTCATCGCAAAAATGAAAAAAATAATCACGTTTTCGTTTTTCAAAAAAATACTGGAAAAAGAAATCAAAAATCTAAAAAAAGTCACAATTTTTCTAATTTTATAAAGAAAATTCAAGTAAAAAAATATTTTTTATGTCATTATGGCATTAAGTTGGACTCAAAAAACCACAAAACATCAACTTTTTGGTTTTGCTGAGAGTCCAATTTTTTTTTCATGTTGAGTTAGAAAAAATATGATTACATGTAATTTTTGACAAGAATCTTAGGAAAAAAACTGATTTTCTTGGATTTTTGATAATTTTTCCGTGTCAAAGCTTTTTTTCGGGCCGGCAAACTTCCTCTTGAGAAGCGACTAGTAGTCGCCGAGAGGGCGGAGAAGCCGGAGCCGATGTCTACCGAGACGGACGCCTTCAACTTCGCAGGCAACAGCACGATGGCCAGCGATGCCCTCCACTTTGCCGTGACGCATGGGCAGAAGCGCGACCAGCCCTCGCCTGTAAAGGGTGCGGCACGCCTTAAGAGACGGAAAGTCTCTGCCCAGGTAGAGTGCGTGGCAGTGGTTGACCAGTCCAATGCAGCAGTGGACGAGCCACAGAAGAAGTCTGAAGTAGGAAACAGCGCTATTGAGAAAAGTGGCGGTTCCAAGCAGGGCGGAAACAAGGGCGCTCCCCCGAAACCCCCGAAACCTCCGAAACCCCCGAAAAAAAAACTGCCCTGAAGAGCAGCACTGCTCGGAACAAGACGAAGGGCGAGGCTCTCATCATCAAGACGGAAGCGTCGAAGTACGTGGATCAGGCGCACTCGTACTGGCGAGATGTTCCTGGTGCTAAAACGTGGTGCCAAAGACCAGGGATTGGCTTACCAGAAGCTGGCAGAGGAGGTCGTTGGTAATGGGGTGCAGGTAAAGTCGCTAGGCTCGACAATCACTATCCAGGTTAAATACTTGGACGAGGTGACAGAGGCGACCACCAATAGTGGTTACTCTGAGGAAGGGATTGTTCTCCACCCAGGTGGCTACCGTCAAGCTCTCGGCAGCTGATGCCAGGAAGGCGGTAGCCACAGGGAAGGTGCGAGTGGGCTTGTCGGTTTGCCCCGTGAGCATTCCCCGACCGGTTACGGCTTGCTGGAGCCACTTGGCTCGTGACTGCAAGAACACCGATAGAGCAAGCTGTGCAGACGGTGCGGCTCGGAGGGCCAGAAGGCGCAAGGTTGCCAAAAGCCGCCGAAGTTCACAATATGCGTGGAGAAAGGGAAATCCCCTACCAACCACATGGCAGGTGGCCCGCGCTGCTCGGGGGCCAAGAGCAATGCTCAGCCATGTTCGAGGTAGCGCAGTTGAACCTGAACCATTGCGCGGCTGCTCAGCAACTGTTGTGGCAATCGGCAGTGGAATGGGGAGTGGATGTCGCAATTATTTCCCATCTGGCAACGGGAATTGGGTCACGGACGCGGCGATATGCACGACGGGGAGCTTCCTTGTTCAGGAGGTGGTCTCGTCCAACTCGAGCGAGGGATTCGTGATCGCCAGGGTCAATGGAGTATATCTAAGTAGCTGTTATGCTCCGCCCGGGTGGTCCATCGAGCAGTTCTCGGCAGGCTTCCAGTGCGCGCGCCACCGTATGCGAGACGCAATACGAATAGTCTCATAATCATAGCAGTCTCATGCGCAAGAGATTTGTAGCACTCTGTTTCTCTCGCTTCAGTTTTGTCGCATCTCACATTCTCATAATGTCTGTGTGTCGCACTGTTTTGTAAGCACAGCACATTTCCGGATGTATGCGTTTCATGAGAACGAGTATCATGCGACGTCGCGTGAGCCGAAGCTCATGCGCTTTTCGCAATGAGACGTCGCTAAGCGACGTTTCAATGCGACATCGAAATAACAAACTCAACTGGAAGACCAACTCGTGTTCTTGATGTGGGAAAAGTGTTGTTTTGTTTTGAAAACGATGGAAAGCGACCTAGCTACTACACTCTTATCGAACATGGAGAAGAGGTGTCGGATGGTTATGACCAACAAAGTTTTCCTAGCGGCAATTTTCGTTGATTAAAGGATTAACTTGAAAAATAGCCCATTCATAACGAACGAAGTAAGAGATGTGGCTTTGGTAAGAGAAATGTACAATCAAGTTGTGGTTTATTTGCTCGTTAATATGCTTTTTTTTTAATTTCACCGA